TCAACTTTTTATAACTTTTTTTAACTTTTTTGTCTTTTAGTACGGCTTTTGGTGCGTTGCATCAACTTGTCTGTAAAAAAAAAAAAAGGAAGAATTTCAACTTAAACCACTAGTACCTCGCCCAGCTATCAAATCCGAGGCTCGGACTACCGGTAGCCCGATCATTGCCGAGCCTCGGACAACCGGTAGTACATCATGGAAAAAGAAAAAAAGTTCAAAACACGAAAAAACAAACAACATTCTGCACCAAAAAAAAAAAAAAAGGGAAATCGGACATGGGCAACGAGAATGAATCTTTCTCGATGAAGAGGAAGATTCATTCTCGTGGGACTTTCACAGACACTAACACACACACACACACACACACACACACCTGTCTCTTATACACATCTAGATGTGTATAAGAGACAGGTGTGTGTGTGTGTGTCACAGTGTGCGTCATGTGTGTATGCACTGGTAATCACCATGTGTCTGTACTGCATCCAACTTCGCCATGAGTCTCTGTTTCATGCTTCCAATTACTACCACTACTACTACTACCACTACTGCTACCACCACTACCACCACTACTACCACTATTGCTAGTACCGCTACTACTGCTGCTACTACAACTGTTACTGCTACCACTACTACCACTACTACTGCTACTACTGCTACTGCTGCTACTACTGCTGCTCATGCTACTACTACTACAACCACTACCACCACTACTGCTACTACCGCTACTACTGCTACTACTGCTGCTCCTGCTACTACTACTGCTACTACTACTACTACTACGACGACTACGACTACGACTACGACTACGACTACGACTACTCGTCTGTGAGTTCTTTCGCACCATAAGCGTGGGGCATGGCGCCACTTTCCTCTCGCCATGCTCATCTTCTTGTGATTATGATCTCTGTTTCCCCTTCTTCCTCTGCTTGCCGTTGTTGCTTCTCTCCATGGATGTATCATTGGTTTCTGCGCCACATACGTCATATACGTTCATGAAGCGGAAACCAAGAGTCATGCCCGTCTGATATTCTCAGGCACGTGACACATACGTCCTATACTCTTGATGACTTTGTTTGAGTTTGTTTGTTAATTGCTGTAGTCAACATATTCGCACTGATTTTTCCATTTGCTAATTTTGCTCTGATAAATGTTGATGATGGCAAGATGCCCTTTCTTTTTTTGAATTCTTCAACTTTTGGTACTGAGTGCCAGTGAGTGGTAGAATTAACAAAAAACTTTTATTGGAAGTTTGTTGGTGTGGAATCTGGAGTACTACCCCTCTTGGCTGTTGGGGTTTAGGAACCGACTCTAACGAATATCACGAATGTGACTGAAGTCACTGAACCTGATAAATTATTTAAAAAAAAGGACATCAGTAAAAAAAATACTCAAAATATTTGAAATTTGAAAAAAACTTTAAAAAAAATTGATCAACAAAATAAAATTGAATTCATTTAATTTAATTAATGCCAATTTAATGATGAATTTATAACAATCAGTTTGATTCGATAGGTTGGTTTGGTGCGTGATTGCGAGAAATTCAAAAGTTCGGAAGTTCAATCCTTTGCTGAGAACCCAGTGACTCAGTGAGTCATACTGTTGATGACTTCATCAAATATTCCTTCGAATCGTTCATTCAGTAAGAAAAGACAAACAGTTTGTGATTTAAATTTTAAACTGATTTTCATGTTGAGTAAAAAAAAGAATGGCCCTTCTTTTTAGGAAGAAAAGAAGAAGTGTGATGTTCAACATTGTTCTTAGCATCCTCAACAGTCTTTTCCCACAAGTGAAAATTTTCACCAGTCATTGCAAAAATATGTGGTGGTGTGCATTTTCGGTTTCAACTTTTACCGCTTACTAGTCTTCTT